GATCTTCCTGGCGTTCTTCATGACGATGCCGATTGTTCTGCTGGTCTTTGTGGTGCTGAGTATCATCATCCAGATGTTCTTCATGCAGAACTCTACGATGGTGATCTCCTTGGGCTAGAGGGCTTCCTGCCGATCTTCCAGTAGATCTTCCCAGTCGTGTGCTGCATGGTGCTGGTCGGCTTTCTGATGCCAATCTTCGGGCGGGTCCTCGTGGAGCCTGTGATCTTCTTCATGCCGATCTTCCTGGCGATCTTCGCGATGGAGACCTTCATGGCGCTTTCGGGCTTCCTGCCGTGCGCTCTTAGTTGGTCGCGGAGCCTCGGTTTCCTTCCACTCGCGGGCGTTGCCCGCGTGGCAGCGCTCCGCCCTCGCTGCGACCGCTCTGCGTGAACGTGCCCTGCGTGTTTCCGCTCCGCAGCAACGTGCTCTGCGCGTTTCCGCTGTGCGCTCGCCCTCGCGCATTTCGCCCAGTTCGTCGAGGCAGGCGGCGCGTCTTCAAGGGCCGTCGGGTCGCCGCTCGCCCAGCCGCCAGGGGCGACGGGGACAGGGCTGCGCGCGAACATCTTTAAATACATCCGCGGCGAGGGCCACGGCCCCGCGCCGTCTCGCTCGGCGCCTTCTCCTGGGCTCGCCCACGCTATGTCTGAGCCGCTCGTGGGCCTGGCGCCGTCGTTGCATTCGCCCGTGAGTGCAGCTTCAGATGTTAAACAGTTGTTCGACGTAGCGTTCACATTTTTGGTGTTGGCGAAGGGCCCCAAGCTCGCTGTGGCTATGTTGCAGGAACCCCGGGGGGGAGGTGGCGACAGACGCGGCGCCTCCACTGCATCTGCCTGTGGGTGTCGCCGAGGGTGTCAGGTGTCCGACTGGTCCGACGCTCGCATCTCTGGCGTCGGCGAGGTTCCCCGAGCTCCCGGCGACGACGTGGCCGGAGCAGGGGGGGGAGGGGCAGGCAGAGATGAGCGAGGGGATCAGGGGGATTTTGCCACCATGTCGCCAGCGCCCCGGGGGGCCGGGAAGCGAACCGTGGACTATTCGGTCTTGATCTCCTGGAATGCGATTCCCCTTATTTTCCGCGCCCTCCCTGCGAACTGGCAGACCTGGATCCCGATGCAGGCTCCTCTTGACCATCGTGTAGTTGGTGGTGCCGTGCAGTGGCAACGTGACGCGCGGCGAGCATTCCCATGGCTATGTTGCGCGATGTTCCGAGTGCTGATCGCACCGCGACCATGCGTCGGAGCATCAGGCCCAACGCGCTGGCGAAGAGGAGCATGCGCGGGACAGATACCCGCGACGGCTTCGAGAACCTCTTCCTGGCACCCCCTCGGTGCGTGGAGGGGGCTCCAGTCTGGATGGGAGGCTATCGGGGTGGGCGTGGCCGCTGCCGCCAGCTGCGTCGCTTGCATGGCCGCTGGCGGTGGTGGTGGCGTGCGCGTGGGGGCCCGAACAGTTCGGGGCCCGAACAACCGGTCGCGCGCCCTTCCAGTGCTGGGCGCGGGGGGTCATGATCTGGTCAGTGGCGAACTTCGACCTCGACGAGTTACGCCGAGCGGCCTGCGTCTCGTCTCGCCGCGCTGGCGTGGCCGCGAGTGTGCGGGCGAGTGGCCGCCGGCTGTCCCGATCCATGGAGGTCGCATCAACGGCGCCCCATTGCCGCCCTGACTTCCCTAGCGCGCAGCCTGGCCGAACGGCGGGGCCAGCTGGGCGAGGAGGGGCGCGCCCGAGCGGGGTCGGCCCTGATGAACTTCATCCGTTTGCCGCAGGAGCGCGTCGACAACCTCCTGGCTAGGTTAGACCCCCCCCGCGACTGGGCGCAACGGGCTGGTCAGCTCATGATTGTCTACGACGGGCTTAGTTACGTCCTGCTGCGCGCGGCGAGCGCGTCGAACGCCCATTTCGCCATGGCCCTGCGGCGCTGCAACGTGGCCAGCCCCGCGAACGCTCGGCAGCTGTCGCGCTTGACTTGCCGATTGCGACGCCTTGGGCGCGTGGTCGAGGGGTCGCTGGGCAACTTCGCCTCGGCTGTTCGCCCGACCCGGCGCCGCGCGTTCCTCGCGGGTGCGCCCGCGCGCTGCGGCCGGATCGAGCCGGGATGGCGGGGGCCCCGCCGCCCCTTGGGGCAGCGCAGGTAGGTGCCCGACAGCAGGGGTCGAGTCAGGCGCAGATTCCGACGCCGTCAGCTCGCGCGGCGCGGAGTTTGCTGCCGGCGACTCCGAGCGTCGCGACGTTCCAGTGGAACAGCGGGTTGCGCGCCTTTTCTGGGCCTGCGAACGCGCCGAGTCACGGTGGCGCCGCTTCGGCGGCCGCGGGCCCGCCGCGCGCCGCGTTCGAGGGGTCATCGATTGCAGGGGCAGCGGCCGCGGCATGGGCGATCGCGCCTTCCTGGCCGATTCTTTCGAGAAAGACCCCTCGGAAGCTTTCGGGTGCCAGTGGTGAGGAGAAAGGGGTGTTCAGGACCAGTGGCGTGGGCCCAGGCCGCCAAGGCAGCCCGCTTGGCCCTGGCGGGGTGCGTCTGCAATGCCGCGAGTGCGACTGAGGGGCGTCTCGTGCGCGATTGCACCTGGCGTCGCCGGCAAGGGCGCGCCCCTCTCCTCCTCGACGCCCCAGCCCCAGCGACGCCGCCGCTGCCGCGGACGTCCTTGCCGCTTGTGCATCTGGGGCATCGGGGGGCGCCCAGGCCAGCAGCTTAGCAGCCCGCGCCAGGCGCGTGTGCGGTTTGGATGACAGGGCGCTTCCAGGACTATCCAGTCCACGACTGGCGGCCCCGGCGAAGGTGATCCAATGCAGAGTCCCGATCCCTGGGGCGGCGGGCGGCCGACGCCAGCGGCGGCGGCTTTGCGGCCACCCGCGCCGCGGCCTTGCGATGGTCAGATGATTTCAAATAAATTGTCGTCAAGAGTATGGAAGATGTGAGAATCGGGGAGGTTGCGCCGTCGTCATCGCATACATTGTTGCAATGGTGCGTTCCCTTCATCACGAGTATTGGTGGAATTGCGCTTGCGAGAAGAGGCGAGGCGGCACCGTCATGACCCTATGCATTGTTGCAATGGTGCGTTCCCTCGGGCCCGCCCGGGCGCCCCGCGCCCCCAAGGGGCCGGCTCTGACGGGCCTCTGTTCTGTTCTGTTCGCGGCGCCGGGGCCGAGCGCGTCGTCCGACTGCTCGCGGCAAGCAGCGGGCCGCGGCCATTGGTCGAGCAGGGAGGGGGCCTCGCTGTCTTCGCCCTATCCCAGCCCGCGCGAGGCCGAGCTGCGACGCCCTCGTCGAGGAATTGCTGCTCTCGCAAGCCGCGTGCAGCAGGGCTCTGTCCAACCCGCGGGCCTGGCAACTGCGTTCCCTGCCCGTGCGGCAGGGGCAGGGAACGCGGCGCCGACGGCGCCAGCAGCCCCGGCAGCGCCAGTAGCACCGCCGCAACCGACGCCGCCGCGGTGGGCAGGAGTGGGCGGCTGATTCCCATTGCCCGCTGGAGCAGTCCCATGTTCGCGACTGGGTAGGCAACGTCAGTGTACGAGTCGCCGCGCCTCCGACCCCGCCTACCGACGTGCAGCTGCGGAGCGGTGTTTTCGTGCCATCAGTCTCATCCTTCGGCATCGGCGCGCCGCGTGGATGAAGTTCCATGTGGCCGCCGCAATCTGCGCCGGCAGCAGCGTCGCAGCCGGTGCCGGAGATCTGGCTCAAGTCAGCCAGGGCGCCCCAATCGACGCTAGCCGGCCATTGGTGAGAGTGGCTATGTGGCTCGCCGGCCGCGAGACGTGCATGTCGTGCGGCGGTTGATCCGTGCGCGGCGCGCGCGCCACTCGACTTTTGACAACGCGCAACGGCGGTGCCTCGACGACCTCCAGAGCACGCAGCCAGCACTAGAGCTCCAACGACAACAGGGCGAGCAGCGGCGCCAGGCCGCGCAGATTAGGACAGAAGCCCTTCTTAATCTTCCTCCTGTGCCAGCCGCCGCGCCCGCTGTGCCTTTCCCAGTTGTGTTCGGCTGAGACGACAGAGAGCGTCCTATATTTGGCTCGCGCCATCCTTGCACGGAGAGAGGGTAGTTCGCCTGCAATGCAGCCGCGTCGTGCACCAGGCATGCAACTTGCAGCTGATGCAGAACGCCGACGCCCAGGTGGTGTACTGCCCGGCGTGCCGAGGCCCAGCCGACGTCATCGCCGACTTCCGCATCATTGGTGCAGATCGAATTTCAGCGGGTCCGACGCCCGTGGCGCCGGCCCGCGCGGCAGATCCTGATCCGGAGTGTCCAGTGCTTGTGGCGTGGGCCCGTTATCAGACGACGGCGAGCCCGGAGGGACTGCCCCGCAGCAGGGCTTCGTCCTCGGCCAGCGCTGGCGCCCAGGACACCGCCGTGCAGTCACCAGGCGCCAGGCTTCGCTTCCAGTTTCGCGTCCGCCGCCGACGTGGCGGCGCCCTGCGGCGCCCGCCTGGACCTGCGCGCGTCGCCTTGCCGACCCGCGTTCCCGCGGTGGCCTGCCTCGTCAGATGCAGGTACCAGTTTATCGAACGTCTCGCCATGCTGACTGGCGGGCGCCGATCTCTCGGGCGGCCTGTTAGGTGTTGTCCTCGACGCTGGCGCTTGGGCCCACGCCTGGGGATTGCGCTTTGCCGTGAAGTTGATCGACGAGGCCCAGATGGCGAAACTAGTGCCCTCGAAGGCACGGCTGTCGACGCCACTCTAGTCTAGCAGGAGTCGGCAACGGATCACGGGCTGCGCCCTGGGGGGCACATCCCGTCGCGGTGGCCGCCCGCGACGGCGTGGCCACGCGGCGCAACGTGCGCGCTCCAGCCGTGAAGGGCGCAGGCGTCGATCTCCTTGCCCTTCTCGGCCTGCCATCGACGCAGTCCTACAACAGGGTGGTGGAGTGGTGGAGGAGGCAGGCGTCGACCACAGACGCTTCGCTTTCCCCGGCCCAGGTGGCCCCGACATCAATTGGAGCGTTTGCGCCGTCCACTTCGACTTGGAAGTGGCGCCGGGTGGTCATCTGTGCGTTCCAGGTGACGACTTCGACCAACTCCAGCCGCCCTCCGGGGGCCCACCACATAAGCAGCCCGCGCTGCTGGCAGTGGGCAGCAACCGCCAGGGCGACGCCAGCGATGGCCGCGAATATATGAAGCCACAGGTCCAGCTCCCCAGCCCCGACGCACAGACACCGTCGCGGGGCGCGCCGCAGGCAGCGGGCGGCGACGCGCGCGCCGGCGCGGACGTCGGCATCGCGACCTGCGGTCGGGAACTGGTGTCTACGGGGGTGGCAGCTCTCGCGCCGCCGGGCGCCTGCCTGCGGGATGCCCAGCGCTCGGGACTAGCTAGCCCACAGGGGCATCGATGTCGTGGGCGGCGTGGTGGGCCCCGACTACAGCGGCGAGATCGAGGTGATCGTGCGCGACGCCAGCCCGTGGTCAGTCGTGGTCGAGCAACGCCAACGGGCCGCCCAATTCATCCTGGAACGCATCATCATCGATTCTGGCACCGTGGTCTTTCCCGGCCTTCCCCCAACCATTGCTGGATCAGGAGGTTTTGGGCGGGCGGGCATGACGCGCCTCAGCTATGGCCCCGTCCCGTCAGATGTGGGCGCCACCGCTCCACCAGGGTGTCTCGATGACTACGTTGCCGAAGATTTCAAGGAGCTGCCCCGCTAGGAGGAGGAGGACGGATCAGCCCGCGGGGCTGGCCGCGCCGATCTTCCCCAGCAAGAGTGGGCAGCGGGGCCATGTTGCCCCGCCTGGGTCCTGGAGCGAGGGCGGGTCGCGTCGCCAGCGCTGCCGGATCACATCTTCGCGGGCGCCGTCGCGACGTTGCCCGGCAGCGCGTTGCCCGGTTCCATCTACGGCATGCCGTGGTTCACGTTCGTCTAGGTCTCCTAGATGGGGTCGGAGTAGATGGGGTCGGAGGATCGCGCCGCATCGCCGATGCATCAACAATGCGCCGCGATGCGGAGCCCGATTTTCTCCACGCTGGCGCCGCCGATACATCGCCCACGTCGACGATGCATCGCCAGTGCATCGCCGATACATCGCCGAAGCATCGCCGATGCATCGGCGATGCGGCGCGATCCTCCGACCCCATCTACTCGGACCCCATTTAGGAGGCCTCTAGTTCGACGCGGACGAGGGCAAAACTTGCTGCATTCTCGACTACCGCCCCGATTGGCGCGCGCGAGTCAGGGGCCCTGGCGCCAGGGTGGTGATCTTCGGCCCGCGCGGCCAACAGTGGGAACGGCCGCTACTTAGACGTATGATCGACGCGCGCGTGCTCCACCTCATTCAGCATCGGGCCTGCCGTGGGCCCATCGGCCCCAGATGCCAAACACTTCATCGCAGTATTCGGATCACCTATCTGCAACCAGCTGTGCGCATGCAGAATCAAGCTGGATGGGGCAGATCGCGACTCAGAGATCATCAACCAGAGAGTGTTCACCGCCCTGATGTGCCACGAGGTCTCGCGACGCGCGCCCTCCTGCAGTTGTGCTTCATACGGCGCGGGTTCGACGCGGAAGGCGCGCTCTCGCCGAGGGGAGGCGGCAGCTTGCGCGTCGGACTCGAACGCGCCTTCCAGTCCTATGCGCAGACGCGACGTCGAGCAGCGCGCTCAGGGCCGTGCGACAGGATAACAGGATCATCGGATACAATCTATCTGACAGAGTGCGGAGACTCTCGCACATCTTCAAATTCTACGGGTACGCGCAGATGTGACTACAAGCGCGCACTCAGGGCCCACATCGCATTCAGAACAAGTAGCACGCCCATGCCGGCATATCCGATCAAACACAGGAGGCTTCTGGCGACTATACCGTCAGTGCCCACCCTGTGGCAGAACGCATGCGCCAGACGGCGGAGATGAAGGAGGGCCACGCGCCCGAAACAGGGGCAGTTCGTTGAGGACCGCTACGACGATTGTGGCACCAACCTCACGGGTTTGGCCCCGCATCTTCTTGGCATTCCGGCCATTGGAGCCATCTATAACGTCATCCAGACAGCTGGCCAGCGATTGTTTCGCGATTGCTTCGCGGACCCAGGGTTTCGAGGGGGTCTCCCCATATCGGCGGGTGTGGATTTCTCCGAGCCTCGAGAACTCCAAGACCAACGCGAGGTCTGCGAGAGGTGGGGCATTTCGGTGGGACCAAATCGGCTGGGCGCCAACAGTGGACCCCCAAGCTTCCAGAGACAAAACTGTGTTCTGGGGACTTGCCAGGAAACTGTAGGATGAGTGAATATCAGGGTGCTTGCGCCTTAAAGGCCTCTCGTAGTCTACGACCACCCGCCACGCCAAGGGCTAGTCGAACCTCCTCTTCCTCCTCCTCCTCCTCCTCCGCCTCCTCCCCCTCCCCCTCCTCAAGGGTCACGATATCGGGCGTTCTCGTCGGCTCCTGGATGTTTTCTCCGGCCTCGGGGTGCCTTCCGGCGGCTGCGCCTCGCCGAAAGCGTTCGATTCTTGGGGTGCTCGGATCGCTCCGAACGGCCGTCGGAGGCCAGAGGCATGAGCCGAAAACCATCGCCCCCGCTTGGCGGCGCATATAAGGGCGTGGCTCGATGGAGGTGGGCTTCTAAGAAGGCGGGGGGCTACTTGGAGGGCAGAGCCCTTCAGCTTCTGAGAGGGCTCCCTTCTCTTGTCATCATATGGGCCTTTCCAACAAGTGCTGCCTCGTGTGCGCCGCCCCCGCTCGCCCATTCTTCGCCGATCGGGGCCTGGGCACCCCGCCTCCGCCCCGGCAACGTGCGGTCTCGATACTCTGGGGGGCCTGTTGGCCGATGTATCGGCCACGTATCGTCGATGCCAGGTCACTGCTTCCACCCTGAACCAGTCCTCTCCTTGTGGCTCCCTTCATCCTCCCACCGCTCCCTAGGAGGTGGACGGGCGACAGGGGGTCAGGTGCAGTGTCGGCTTTTTATGCGAGCGCGGAAATCTAGCGGCCTTCGGGCCATCCCGCCACTGCGCTTGGGTCACGTAAAGACTTGTTTGACATTTTTGGGGCTGTTGGGGTCTTTGTGGGGGGATCCTTGAGTCATGTCTTGTCCACTTGGGTGCGTATCGTGGCTTCCTGGGGCCTACTGTGGGTCTCTTGGATGCCTCTTGTTGGAGATGTTGGCTTCAAGCGGCGCTGCGGTCGTGCGCTTTCTGGGTTCCTCTTGGGGCTGTCTTGGGGCCCTCTCGGGTTCCTGTGGGGGGCCTCCTGGGCAAAATTTGGCAAACTTGCCCGGGTCTTGGGGTCTCCTTTGCCTTTGTGGACGCTCTTACGACGGATGCGGCGAGAATGTCGAGACCCTGCAAAATCCAGAGGGATTGTGTTGATTTGGGTTTCTTGGACCGACCCCCAGGGTTTCCAACACGTCCCGAGGACTCCCAATCACGCCGAAGGGTTTTTGGGTGGGTCCCGAGAGGACTCTAGCGGGCCTGTGTGGCCCCCAGATGGCCAAATTGGCCCCGAGATCGCCCGCGTTGCTTCAGTTCCCCCCCTCCCCAGACATCCGACTTAGTTTTTTTTTGTTCGCAGAGTGGTTCCACATAGGTCTGGACCGATTCCTGGGGACCAGCTCGTCATCCCGACTCGTCATCCGACGGCCTGGTGACCCCAGGAGCCCCTGCCGGCTGGCGGCCGAAGAGTGCACTTACAAAACCCTCCATCCTGACTTTCTTTGCTCACGATGCGAGGATGCCAGGGTCCCCCCGCCCTCAGCGTGGGCGAAACACATGTCCGCATCCACGGCCTCGAGGGCCTGGCCCCTGGGCCGCGACCATGCGGATACGGGGAGTTTTTGCGCGTTTGCCCCGCGCGGCACGAACCCGTACGGCCGCGGATCCCGGGGATCGCGCCCTGGAATCCAGACTGCGAGTGCGTGGATATGCATACGTTGGCCGCTCGTGACTTCCCCATGGCTCATTTCGACTCCGACTCGATTCGATTCGATTTCGATTCCGATTCCGATTCGAGTCGACTTCGGATTCCGATTTGGATTTCGGTTTCTCATCAGAAGCTTTACCAGCCTGCCGATTTCTGTCGATTCGACTTTTCCCGACTTGGCTGCTGATTTCCACCGATCCGATTCATTCTGATAGCCGATCCGCATTATCGATCAGATTCTCGGGCTCCCTTGCCTCCCCCCCTCCCGCCCGCGCCATGGGCGGCGAGGGGTTCCGCCGGCCCCGCGGCGGCCGGTGGCGCAGGTTCGGCGGGGGCCGCGGCTCCGGCGGCGGTCAGGACCTCGGGGCGGCGGACGGCTCGTCAGGGAGGCATCTGGGGCAACGTCAGGGGGATGGGCGCCGCCGCGGGCCCTCCACCGCCGAGCTGCCTTCTGGCGAACTCTTCGACGCCGACGGGGCCGAGCAGGGCGGCGGGTTTTGCGCCGTCCAGGCTGGGCTGCGGCCGCGCGCGCGCCCGCCCTCGCCGCCGCTGCGCCCGCGCCGGCAGGGGCGCCCGCTGCTGCCGCCCCGGGCCAGCGGGGGCTCCGAGAAGGAGGGGTTGTGGGGGGGGGTGATGGGCAATACGTGGAATTCGCCACTCACGAAGAGGTGGTCCAGATGCGAGGTCGAGCCTATGGGGGCCGTGAGGCGGCGGGGGCCGCTGCGAATGCAGTTCGGAAGGCAGTTGTGGCGGCGCAGGCCGTTGCTCTCGCTCGCGGGGGCGCGAGGAAGTTGGATTCGACGTGCGGGGGCGCGAGAATGTCGGCTTCGGCGTTGAGAGACGCTGCTCGATCCATGGCCGTGGGCTCTGCAGCCTTGCTGACCGCCAGTATTCCTGGATGGGCGGAGTCTCCGCGCCGACTGGCCGCAGAGCGAGCGCGATGGATGGGCAGCCCGCGGTCTGCCGCCCTGGGGGCAACCTTCAACCGACGAGGCGCTTGCCCGCGAGCGTCAATTGCGAGAGGCGCAACCTGATGGAGATGAAGCGGAGTGGCCGGAACGTGCCAATGGACGTGCCACGGGACGTGCCAGGGGACGCGCCGCGCGACGTGCCAGGGGGACTCGCCACGGGACGCGCCACGGAACGTGCCAGATTGCAATGCTGAGTGTACCGATCTTGAGGTACCGTGCCGAGGGCTGTGTTGTGCTGCGCTGTGCTAAACTGCCATGTGCCATGCCGCGGTTGTGCTCTGGAAGGTTGTGGATCGAGTCCTCCTTTGCATCCGAGTCCTGACCGAACCGATCTGGATCTTAAGCTCGAGCTGCCTCAGCACATAGTAGCTGCCCCAGAGCTACTTGACAGGGGAACATGCCAGGAGGACGCGCCGCGGAACGTCCCAAGGGACGCGCCAGGCGACGTGCCAGGGGACGTGACACGGGAACGCACCGCGGGACGTGCCGAGGGGACGCGCTACGGAACCTTAAAATGCATGGTCCTTGCTCGGAGCAACCATGTTAGATATCCCCTGGATGGCCTAGACACATAAAAACACATGGCGCCAGCTCGGGAAACCATGCTACATACACCCCTGAATAGCCTGGACTCGTTACAGCACATGGCCATTGCTCAGAACAATCATGTTAGATACCCCCTCTGGGTGGCCTGGAGACGCAACATGATCGACCCACGAACCCGGAAAGGAACATAGAAATGTAACGCATGGCAACGTTTTCAAAGACACCTGATTGGGTGACGGGCAAACGCAATGCTGATTGTATCGATCTTGATGTACCGTGCCGAGGGCTGTGCTGTGCTGCACCGTGCTGAATTGCGATGTGCCATGCCGCGGTTGTGCTCTATAGCGTCGTGGATCGAGTCTTCCTTTGCATCCGAGTACTGACCGAACTGATCTGGATCTGAAGCTCGAGCTGCCTGAACACATAGTAGCTGCCCCAGAGCTAATTGACAGGAGGACATGCCAGGAGGAAGCGCCGCGAAACGTCCCAAGGGACGCGCCAAGCGACGTGCCAAGGGACGTGCCATGGGGTCGCACCGTAGGACGTGCCAAGGGGACGAACTACGGGACATCCTCAAAATTCCTGCGCGCGGGACGTGGCACGCGCGAGACATCCCCGGAATTCCTGCGAGCGGGACGTGAAAACAAACATTTCGCCTGAGACATCCTCTGAATTCTGGCCCCCCACGAGGCCCCCGCTCGAGACATCCCCCAAGTTTGCAAAACCAACGTTTCGCTCGAGACGTCCTCAACAAATTATGAAAAACAAGCGTTTCGCTCGAGACATCCGGTCAAAATCCAAGGACATCCTGGCAAACCAAACGAATTAGTCGAGACATCCTCAAAATTCCTGCGCGCGGGACGCGGCACGCGCGAGACATCATCGGAATTCCTGCGCGCGGGGCGCTTTTCCGCGTCGCGGTCGGCTCTGCAAAACCAGCGTTTCGCTCGAGACATCCTCGACAAATTCTGAAAACAAGCGTTTCGCTCGAGACATCCCCAACTTTGCAAAACCAGCGTTGCGCTCGAGACATCCTCAAAAAAACTGAAAAACAAGCGTTTCGCTAGGGACATCCTCAAAAATTACACTGCGTCCGCGCTCCTAGGGCTACGATCCCTCGTAAATTACACTGCACCCGCGCTCCCAGGGCCACGATCCCTCGTAAATTACGCTACGTCAGCGCTCCCAGGGCCACGATCCCTCGTAAGGGCTCCTGGGCCCTCCTGGGTCTTCCTTGGACCTCTTGGGCCCTCCTGGGCTCTCCTGGAGCCTCCTGGAGTTTCTCCTGGGCCCTCCTTGGGCCCCCTGGTGCCTCTTGGAGCCTCCTGGGTCCTCCTGCGCCCTCCTGGGCTCAGAATTCAAAGGACGTCTCAGGCAAAATGCTTGTTTTCACGTCCCGCTTGCAAGAATTCCGAGGATGTCTCGCGCGTGCCGCGTCCCGCGCGCAGGAATTTCGAGGATGTCTCGACTAATTCGTTCGTTTTGCTAGGATTTCCTTGGATTTTGATAGGATGTCTCGAGCGAACCGCTTTTCCCCAGCACGTTCCGTAGCGCGTCCCCTTGGCACGTCCTGCGGTGCGTTCCCATGGCACGTCCCTTGGCACGTCGCTTGGCGCGTCCCTTGAGACGTTCCGCGGCGCGTCCTCCTGGCATGTCCCCCTGTCCATTAGCTCTGGGGCAGCTACTCTGTGTTCAGGCAGCTCGAGCTCAAGATCCAGATCAGGTCGGTCAGGACTCGGATGCAAAAGAGGACTCGATCCACGAGGCTATAGAGCACAATCGCGCCATGGCACATCGCAATTCAGCACGGCGCAGCACAGCACAAAAATTCGGCACGGTACATCAAGATCGATACACTCAGCATTGCAACTTGGCACGTTCCGTGGCGCGTCCCTTGGCGAGTCTCCCTGGCACGTCGCGTGGCGCGTCCCCTGGCACATCCCGTGGCACATCCATTGGCACGTTCCGTAGCGCGTCCCCTTGGCACGTCCCGCGGTGCGACCCAATGGCATGTTCCTTGGCACGTCGCCTGGCGCATCATTTGGGACGTTTAGCGGCGCGTCCTCCTGACATGCTCCCCTGTCCATCAGCTCTGGGGCAGCTACTATGTGTTCAGGCAGCTCGAGCTTAAGATCCAGATCAGTTCGGCCAGGACTCGGATGCAAAGGAGGACTCGATCCATGACGCTATAGAGCACATTCGCGGCACGGCACATCGAAATTCAGCACGGTGCAGCACAGCACAGCCCTCGGCAGGGTACATCAAGATCGATGCACTCAGCATTGCATTTGCCCGTCACCCAATCAGATGTCTTTGAAAACGCTGCCATGTCTTACAGTTCTATATTCCTTTTCCGGGTTCGTGGATCGATCATGTTTTCGTAATTTGTTGAGGATGTCTCGAGCGAAACGCTGGCTCTGCAAAATTAGAGGATGTCTCGACGGGGGCCTCGTGGGTGGCCAGAATTCAGAGGATGTCTCAGGCGAAATGCTTGTTTTCACGTCCCGCTCGCAGGAATTCCGAGGATTCACGTCACGCTCGCTTGGCACGTTCCGTGGGGCGTCCCTTGGCGAGTCCCCCTGGCACGTCGCATGGCGCGTCCTGTGGCACATCCCGTGGTACATCCATTGGCACGTTCCGTAGCGCGTCCCCTTGGCACGTCCCGCGGTGCGTTCTCATGGCACGTCCCTTGGTACGTCGCTTGGCGCGTCCCTTGAGACGTTCCGCGGCGCGTCCTCCTGGCATGGTCCCCTGTCCATTAGCTCTGGGGCAGCTACTCTGTGTTCAGGCAGCTCGAGCTCAAGATCCAGATCAGTTCGGTCAGGACTCGGATGCAAAGGAGGACTCGATCCACGAGGCTATAGAGCACAATCGCGCCATGGCACATCGCAATTCAGCACGGCGCAGCACAGCACAGCCCTCGGCACGGTACATCAAGATCGATACACTCAGCATTGCAATTTGGCACGTTCCTTGGCACGTTCCGTGGGGCGTCCCTTGGCGAGTCCCCCTGGCACGTCGCGTGGCGCGTCCCCTGGCACATCCCGTGGCACATCCATTGGCACGTTCCGTAGCGCGTCCCCTTGGCACGTCCCGCGGTGCGACCCCATGGCACGTCCCCTGGCACGTCGCCTGGCGCATCCCTTGGGACGTTTCGCGTCGCGTCCTCCTGGCATGTTCCCCTGTCCATTGGCTCTGGGGCAGCTACTATGTGTTCAGGCAGCTCGAGCTTAAGATCCAGATCAGTTCGGTCAGGACTCGGATGCAAAGGAGGACTCGATCCACGAGGCTATAGAGCACAATCGCGCCATGGCACATCGCAATTCAGCACGGCGCAGCACAGCACAGCCCTCGGCACGGTACATCAAGATCGATACACTCAGCATTGCATTTGCCCGTCACTCAATCAGGTGTCTTTGAAAACGCTGCCATGTGTTACAGTTATATATTCCTTTCCGGGTTCGTGGATCGATCCTGTTCAGTTACGATGTTTGTGGGCAATGTGCTTCAATTGTTGTTTATATTATCGGGGTTGTTCCTCATCAGTCGCTGGTCGAAGACCTTCATTGTCTAAGTCGTTCACCTGGCGTTCCTGCAGTGCGCATCCAGGACTTGCGCCAGTGGGTGCCTGGTGCCGGAGAAAAGGGCGACTTCGCTAACACAAGATGTGTGTGTGTGTCCGCTGTCCCGCCACGGTCCTGTCGCCCCTTCGGCGCTCGTTTTATCTCACCGTCTGCCTTGGTCGGGCTTCCTGGCTGCTGCTCTCTCCCTCTATCGGAGTGCCGTTGCACTTTCGCGCTGTACCCTTCTTGCTTCTTGCACTGCACACCTCCACTTGCCGCCACTCTCCCCCTCTCCTCTATCTCCCCCCCTTCTCGCGGCCCACCGCGAGTGACCTGCTCGATCCCGCGAGTGACCTGCTCGATCCCCTATGGGCGGATCCCTGGCACCCCCGCCTCGTGAGCCGGCCCGGCCGTGCTCTCGCTTCCACACGACCGTCTGCGCCGCGTCGCCGCGCGCATGGTCACAACGCCAAGAAGTGTGTGTGCGTGTGTGAGGGTTTAGCTTTCTTTCCCCGTCCCCGTTTTGGTTTCCCTTCCTGTGATTACGACCGCAGAGATGCAAACCGAGAGACGATGGTTGATTCTGAAACCTGTTCGCCAAGCCAGCAGCCCAGCGAAACGGAATTGTAACCATGTGTAGGATGGATGGTGCGGGCTACGCACAGAGCGGAAGCCGATGTGCCGTCTAGGCGCGGCCTTTTCCAGTCCAGTCCAGTCTCAAAGGTCTCGCATGCTTCCCCGATTGCGGAAAAACGCCTGGCGGGGAGCTGACCAGGTCTTCAACACTGGTGAGAATTTAACCGATAACTCTCAGAAGGTCTCGCATGCTTCCCCGATTGCGGAAAAACGCCTGGCGGGGAGCTGACCAGGTCTTCAAAACTGGTGAGAAGTTAACCGATAACTCTCAGAAGGTCTCGCATGCTTCCCCGATTGCGGAAAAACGCCTGGCGGGGAGCTGACCGGGTCTTCAAGCGGAAAGAGGGGGAGGAGGGCAGGCAGGAAGGAACTGCCCAACGTGTCATCGCGCAAGGAGGTGAGGGGGGGGAACAAAACGCAAGCGCGCAGGTTATCGCGCGAACGGGCAG